CCCCTGGAATCAGCAAAAAGTAACCACCTGTTTTAGCTCTGCAAAGTTTTGATCAAAATACATTTTAGCTGGGGGAATATAAGAACAAATTAAATTAAATGAGTCTGTTGCTACTGTATCTTTAGTACACTTCAGTCATCGCACACAGAGAAAATCCTTTATAGTAGTTTTGTTTTATTTTCTTCAGATTAAGGCATTTTGAGTTTTGACTAATTCAGTTCCCAAGGACTCAAAATGACTTTACTGCATCTGACACCACTGTTAATAAACCAGGATGAGTGGCCACTTCATTTTGCACAGACAGAACATGCTCTAACAAAACGGAACAGTTTCGTTCCTTACAAGGCATTATTTGAGCAGGTTTTTTTGGATGAAAACTAAAAGATTTGTTTTTAAAATGTACTTCATTTAAACTATTTACAACCTGTGAAAAATTGTGAGTTTGAAAATACTTTCCCACTATCACATATATTACAGAATATTTAAACTGTTACAAGTACAGTAAAATACCTTTGTTCTATTTTGTTTTTAAAGATGCAGTATCCTTATAGTTGGTTTCATACTAAAAATTGAATTACTACTGAAATTGATTAGATTTTTACATATTTAACAGTACCAATGGGAATGATTTGCTAAGCATACATTGCACAGTTACTGTTACTCTATAATGAAACTGTGAAAATATAACAGTTTTTAATTTTTTTATGTACATCTTCATTATAAAACACAGGCAAAGGCATAATACAGTAATACAAGTTGGTTTCTTAATAATGTGATATTTTCTTTTACAATATAATAATTTCCAATTCCAATTCTCTGTATTATTAAATCATGGTTAAATTTTTGTTTCTGGGCACACATGCGATGAGGCATATCAACATGTGTAAAGGTATGTATGCAGTTATGTATATATGAGCATGTCAGAGTGGGGAGGAATAGCTGAGTGGTAGCTAACTCTGTGGAAGACACACTCTACTAATTGACCTCTTTCAAAAAACCCCCCAAAATAACAAAAAGTTAATGGGATATTAATAGTAGCAAATATATTCACGTTTTGAGGCACCCACTCTCAATAAAGCAGCAGAAGAATATTTCCATTAAAGAGCATTTATTATCAGAAGATATGTTTATAAATGACAACTAGGGGTACATTTTCAATGCAGCTAATAGAAAATGAGACATATGGCTGTTGTTATTCTCATTTCTACTCCTAGGAGGTGGCCCAGCTATTTGTCCAAGATCCACAAAGTGAATTTACCCCAAATTTCAATACCACTGATACCATTTTAATACTGTTAATTTTGTTAAACGTTATTTGAGCTAAGAATCTTTTATATACATGTTAGTCTAAATCTATTTAACTGTGTAAGTATAATAAATAAAGTATAGAATAAGGAGTACTGCATCTTCATCCCCTGTATAAACTGCCACTACAATGAGCTGATTTCAAAGTGCTGCATCATATGGGTGTTTAAAAAAATCTTTATTTCAAATAAAACATTTGCTCATTATATTTTCATATACTGTTTTCTACTGGGCCTTACTGACCAGACCAACATCCTTGTAAAGTCACTTGAAGTCTGCTGCTTCGCAGCATTAGCTGCACATCTAAGCTGCAATGCCTACAGTTAACTTCCTGTCTCCCCTTTATTCAAATTTAAGAGCATAAATCTTTGCTTCACTGAAAGAATGGGATGGTGCCTATTTGTATTTTTCAGCTGTTTATATGAGTCATATCTGTGCTATATAAAGATTAGATCACATACTTCTGCCTGCTGGTTACAATGTAAGCTTTCCACATAGAAAAATCTGTGGTTATATTCATAATGCAAAGGTTTTTGAGGGAAATACTGGAGGGATTCTCAGTTCTTTGCATAATTCTTAAAGGTTGCAGGTAGGTTTGTATCAAAGCCATTGACCTGAGATCACTCCTAAAAACTGTGTAAGCTGGGGCCTAGATCTGAACACTATGGGCTAGCTTTTTCTCTTTACAAAATAACTTCTTAAATGGTTTCAGAAGAACAAAAGAGCATTAAAGAAAATGACCTAACTTAACATACTGGGCTGAATTCTAAGCATTCATACACCTGAAGCTCTTCAATAACTTCAGTGGTGCCTGCAAGTCCAACAGTAGACTGTAGTTATCAGTGGCTATGTACACACATTCAAATGTGTTAGTAGAATTCTCCCGTGTTCATTTTCCTAGTAGAAAATGTATCCGAACAGAAATTTTAATGCTGAGGCCCTGAAAAGGAGAGACCTTGCAGTGTCAAGGGATGCTGTTCAGCCAAGGGCCCCTGTGCACACATCTCAGCATGCTCTGCAGGCTCCCTCAGTCTGCCCAGAGACAGATGGTAGAAATGCATAAGGCATCCCTAACTGACTGCCCCAAACTGCTCTGGCTCAGCCCATGTATGCCTGTAGCACAATGAGGGGATTGTGAAAGAGGCATATTCTGCTCTCTGCTTGGCTGGAGCAGTAAAATCCAGTCCAGGTGACACACAGTCTCCTGGGGAGGAGGGAAGGACAGAAGCAAAGCACCCTGAGATGCTGAAGGACCTTGCTGTGGCTTCTCTCAGAAAGGAATGTATACAGGCATTTGTTTTCCCAGGTGAAACCCTCCTGGGGTGATTTAACCCTGGTTGTTCCTGGGTTATTTTTCTTTCAGAGTAACCATTTTTGCTCTGGGAGAAAAATCCTGAACATGTGTACACTTGTGATTTCTACTGGGAAGGCAGTGACTCTCCCAGTAGAAACTAAATGTCTGTATATGGCCTGTATATGCTGTCTAGATGCAATAATAACATGAAAAGCTCTTTCAGGTGTGCACTGTAAACATTGAGCCTAAGTATTCTCTTTGAGGACTGTTTCAAAGGGGATTGTCAGAAATCTTCAGTATATAACTCTTTGTCTCTCACTGATAAGTTTTATACGTGTGTCTTCTTTGATTTTAATGGCTTTACCCCTGTTTTAAACTGGTACAGTAGAACCAGATCCTCTTTCCAATATTTGTTGCAGCATTTCTAATATATAAACGCGTAGGCAACTGGATGAGAGAAAAGATGAAAGCCCTCACTGCCATTCCTGAAACTTACCCAGACTTTCCCAACTGTCTTCTTCTGGTGAAGTAAACTTAAAGATGGAAAATGCTGTAATTTGTAAAGGGGATGCTGTAGGCATCAAGTAAAATGAGCCCAGAGTAAATTCTGCATTTTTATGTTTTGTTACTAAGACCCGACTAATTTCCCATTATAATATTCTTGAGTATTAAAGATAATCTCACACTTTGATTTGTGCTTGTATGCTTTTAGATTTTCAAATGACTGGTATCTTTAAAAGGACAATTTTGATTTCTATACAGGTAATTCCCACAAATAATGTGCAAACCCTATGGATGACATCTGATCTTTAAATAAGAACTGTTGCTAAAATCTCAGTTTTGCAGTTGGATGACATCACAACAGCTCTATCCACAGAAGTGTGTCCCAAACTGTGGGATATGTCCCGCTTGGGGTGTGAAAGGTTCCAGGGTGAGTATGTGCAAATTACATTGCCAACTGGCAGTATCCTTCTGCTTCAGTCACTCTCACACCTTCCTACTTCAGCTGCCATCACCCCTTCCCCTGCCATTGACTGCCACTGGTAAAGGAAATGGGTGGTGGGGGAAATCTGTAGTGGCTGCTGAGGAAGTGGGGCATGAATGTAATGCCTGATTTGACTATGGTACAGCACAAGCTCACCAGATTTGGTAAATGCAGCCTTATGGAAACCTCTTAGCTTGTGATGCTATCCCTTTTACTCCCAATATTATCTGCACTGCTTGTTATGAGCAAGCTAGGTACTAAAATGCTGTTTTTGTCATGGATTTTGGTGACCTTCCTGATATAAGAATAGGACAAGGGAATGAGCAGTGAAAGAGGCAGTTAGACACTGGTAGTAAATACTTTTCCTTGGTTGTGGAGTTTGCCACTCAGTTGGGAAGCTGGTGTTTTAACAGGCCTGCAGTCCTTAATTTAAAGGGCTGTTCAACTGTTCCCTACCAGGGGAACATTTAAAAATGTGTTTAGGGATGATCAAATTGTGGGCCTGCTGGGTATTTATATAAAAGTGTCTCCATAAATAATCGTCTTCCATTAACTGTCATTGTTTTAGTGTTTGCAATCACAGCTTATCCAGTGTTTGCTGGCTTTTCTTAAAGATAATTGTGGTTTAGAATCCCCTTAACACGATACCTTGAACCAGAACTTAATTCAGATTGGGCAAACATTTAAAAATGAACCTGTGGCATTGTGAGTTTAATCTGTACAGTTCCTGGAACTGAGTATTCATAATTAAATGTATTACAAAAGCTCTTTATGTATATAACTTTTCTCTCTAAACTATAAAAATGTCACCAAATACAAAATCTCACCAATCCTCTTGTAACATTTAGCTGAATAAGCAGATCCTTATGAAGGAGGAGGAAAAATACTGTTCCATTTTAAAGAAAAACTGTTGGCTAAGAATTCCTCCCTTGACCATATAATTTAACTAATACCAATTGGTTCACAATTATTGGGCTGGATGGGAATGATAAGCAATCTGCTTTCATTTAAACAAAGGAGGTTTGAGTTGAAAATCTCTGAAGAGGTAGGCACTGGAGCCCATATGAACAGCTGTTTATGTTGCACTGAAGGGCAGGCTCATGCCTCTTTATTTTCTACCTCCAAAGGAGGAAACTAGTACACTACAGATCATCTTCTTGACAGCACATCCTCTCTGTTTATCCATCCATTGACCCATCAACAATAAAGGCTTACCCACTCTTGTATCTAAAACACCTTTTCAACCACAAAGCAGCTGTTATATTAGATAGAAATTGATATATTTAACTGCGGTACCTGGCAGATCAAAAATATCAAAAAGACTAACATAAGCTGTCAACACAAGAGATCTAATGCCTTATTTTTGTACAGCCCCTTTAGTGGTATGAAGGTTGAGTTTTGCAAGACTCCAGTATGTTATTGTCTTGAAAGCCATTTTATTCATTATTGCTTTTCTCTGCCATTGTAATGCTTCTATGTTTTGTTTCATTTGTACATTCAATTGTATTTTGTGGACAGTTATGCCACGGTGCCAGCATGTATAAATTTGTTTCACTAATTCCTTAATAAAACACTAGGATATAGGACAGGTGGATTCCTGTGACAGAAAACTGCACTTTGAAAACAGAAATGGTAAGCAGGCTCTTTTTATACAAACCAGAAAATAGTACTAAACAAGTCTATAGTAGAGCACAGTTACTTATATTGTACTTGACCTGAAATGCTGCTGCACCCATTTGTTTTACAGACCACAAAAAAAGAGAAAAACAAGGAAAGGAAAGGAAAGGAAAGGAAAGGAAATGTTTGGTGTCTTTCCGGGCATAATGACAAACTGTAGTAAAATACTTAAATGCCACCATCATTATTGCAAAAGTCTGCTTAAGTGCCCCTTCACTTCAGACAGTGGAACCTCTCCAACACAATCTTCTTGTCTACTCTCAAGCTGCTGTTCTGTAGCAGAGATGAGGTGTATTTTCTATACGGATTAGGCAGTACTCAAAAAAGGGGGAAAGGATGGCATAATAATGAAGTCTTGCTCTCATCATCGGTTTGTGGTATCTGATCTTCAAACCAGCAGTAATTCTCAAGGATAAAATGTCCAACAGCTGAGAAAATGTACAGGCTATAAACATTATTCAAGGACACCGCATGGAAAATAATGCCCATTCTTGCAGCATTTAGCTTGCTATCTCCCAGGATACTGTGATGACATTTGTGGGGGAGGTAGGTGGGTAGCCATGCTGGGGATGGGAATGGGTTTTAATTTCAGATGGAAAGGAGAAGAGTGGCACTTCTTTTCCTGCTTTTTTTTTTTTGAATTATTCTGGACATCTTGGAATGCCCTTTGTAACACTGTAGAAGGGGATTCAGCCCTGCTGAATTCATTGTAGTTAAGAGACCCAGCTCTTATATTCTGTTGACAAGTAGCACTTCTCAAACCAGCATGTGCCTCCGGCGATGTAGCGCCAAGTGATCTGATCGGGAAAAGCTGCGGTCACAGTCTGCACACTTGAATGGCTTCACTCCTGTGTGTTTGCGGTAATGCCTCGTCAGTTCATCTGAGCGAGCAAACTTCCAGGTGCAACCTTCCCAGGTACATTTGTATGGTTTTTCACCTGGGATAGACAAAAAAAAGAAAGGAATAGGTTGTGACTTTCTATTGGGTTGTTCACAGTTAGTCCACATCCCCTGGTTTCTCCCAACTTCCCCCTACCCAGGGGTATTTTCAAGTGAAATTAGAAAACTGACCTTTTCTGATTCTGCTGAATAGAAGAAAAGGCTTTTTTTGCATCCAGATTTTTCAGTCCTATGGTATTTACATGACTAAAAGTATCAACAGGATTAAGGCGATGACACTGATCTTACCTTGTTGTGAGGATTATTAGTTAATGTTTGTGAACCAATCCCAGGACAAAGTCTATCATGTGAGCTTTATCTTTTTTTGTAATCCTATGTAATGCATGTATAGTGCAAACTATCGCTTTTGTTAGTTTGTACTACATCATTCCACACTTGCTCCCAAAATGGAAGACATTTTTCAGCAACCATGCTAAAGTGACTTTAGCAACTGGTAGACGGAAGTCTCACATAAGAAAGACTTCAGCATCTTTGCACACGGTGTAACAGGACATTTGCTAGCACTTTGCTAAGTTCCATAACCTAGAATTATGAAAAAAACTTTAGAAGGTCAATCTGCAATCCCTTTTTCTTCTTGACTGTGCAAGTTCATTTCCAATGAGATGTATTTTTCACACATAAGTTAACAGGCTTAGAGTGGGATTTTCAAGAATGACCAGTCTTAGGTTTAGTACTGCTTCCACTGAAGCCAACAGTAAAACTCCAGTTTATTTAGAGGGGAGCACTGCTAGGTCAACCCCACCTGGTCTGGAAACTCCCAGCATTGGTTTTATTTTTTTTACTGTAAGAAGGAAAAATATATTATGTTCTACCAGTTCTCTGTAATACAGTGCAACACCAGTAAAACATTTCAAAACATTTGGATTTTACGTATTTATAAACATTTTTGTCTGATGAAACCTCGTTCCCACAACCCTTTTTAAACCTGAATTTCCCTGGTTTCATCACCATATGAGCACACCTTGGGGACTTCCTAGTTCCAGAAACCTAGCACGTATTGAAAACTGAAGAAGGAAGGCAATCTGAGCTATTTTTGTGTACATATTCCAGCAGTGAGCCACATTTGAATTTTTTAAATTACTGGGGACAGTGCAGCTCCATTTCCTAAACCAGCCAGTCACAGCAGGACTATGAGCTAGAAACCATTTTGAGAACAATTATTCCTTCATAAGCAGGGATCCTGGTTTTCTCTAATTTAAAAAATCCCCAATCTTTGCTTTAAAAAAGTAACCTAAACTCCACATTTTTCCATGATCAAAATGAAATACCACTATATATATAGTGAGAAACAAATAAGAAGTATATGGAGTGGTGAAACAAATATATAGTGTATAAATAGTGAGAAACAAATATATATAGTGGTATTTCATTTTGATCACAGAAAAAATGTGGAGTTTAGGTTATTTTAAAAAAATAGAAACTAGGGGATTCATAAGACACCTTTATCCCTCATGTGTCTATTGATGTTTTGTTCAGATTTTGGTCTTGGGAATCCTGAACAGGTTGCAGAATACTGCTTCAGTTATGACAAATTGGTACTACATGGGTGCATCTACATGAGATGTTTACTGCAGTTGCCTAATTAGCTCCACAGTAAACATCTCAGTGTCTCCATGTGCATCCCTATTAGGGTGCATGAAACTAATAAACTGCAGAGTTTTTTCATGTGCAGCACTGCACACATACAGACTGACCCAGCTGGCTGGGGCATGAGGGTGCTTCAATGTGGGGGCTGCCTGCTGGCTAGCCCCACAATGAAGCACCCTCATGCCCCATCCAGCCCCTCCACAGCACACTGAGCCTGGTTGGAGCAGCCCTGGGTTGGTAGGCTGAGCCCCCAAGACCTCTGTCATCGGGGACTGCTGTGACCTAGCTCACTGTGCTGTAGTCTGGGTGCACGTACAGATGCAGACCCAGCAGCAATAAGCTTCAGAGCAATAAGATCTGGACCTGCTTTGAGCAGGGGGTCAACTAGATGACCTCCTGAGGTCCCTTCCAACCCTAATTTTCTATGATTTTATCTTTCTTATTCCTGCATGTTAATAGGCACAGGTAGATGTGCCCCACTTGACTTACTCTAGTACACCAGCAGGCCATCAAAATACAATATCACTGAGTCTGTGGTTCAGCTACCACTATGCTTCTTATTTGTTTCTCAGTCTTGTGCAGTAATGGTGTAGCTTCTTGTGTGTAAATGAGAGAACAAGGGTGTGTGCGAGTGTGTGCATGTGTGTGGCCCTCAGAAATGCTGTAATTAGAGTTGAAGTTCTGCAAGAGTTTCTTCCAGCAGCAGAACCACTGGAAAAAGGATTCGGATTTTCTAAAAATGAAGTTTAAGTATGAAAGTGCTTCATATTTTTGATCTAGTTAGGTGGAAAGCAGCTGAAGAAAATCTTAAAGACAGATAATAAGTGGTCATCACTGCCCTTGTCCTTCAAGGAAGCAAATACACTGGGCCTGGGGTGGCACAGGTGCTAAGGCACACAGCTGACACCCCAGAGATTGCAAGTTTGAGTCCATAGCAGAAGTGCTCGTGGCACAGCCTGTCAGAGTCCCATGAACTGGCAAATTCTGCTAAATACCTTGCCACAAGGACACAAAAAAGGAAAGTACAGCAACTTACTAGCAATGTCTCTTCAGAAGTAAACATATACTTTGTTGTGCAAGTTATAATTTCAAAGGGGAAACCCCTCCCCAACTTTTCCCAGTTTAAAAAAATTGTAATCAAGCCTCAGGATTGACATTTGCAGCACACAACTTTATAAAGAATTCATATGCTGCACACACACATTGGTATAGTTATCAGTAACATTTGAGCTAACTGAGGTTATATCTTGTGCACACCATCTGGGGTATACTGAGAATACATACCAGCCAGGACTCTAAAACTTGTGCTGCTGATGTCAGATGGTGAAATACAACAGTTGCTGTAAAGAGAATCCAGTATTCTGGTTTTAGAAGTGACAAGCTGGATTTGTAAAGACCACAACACAGAGCTGGAAGCAACAGTGAAGACTGGAACTTTGTCTGTCTGTGATTCTCAAATGCACGCAAAATGCTGAATAGTATTTATTGTCCTCTGGATGTTGATGGCATCGGGCTCGTGGAATTCTGCAGCTGACATGAGCTGTACGAGCATGAGCTAAATGGCAGATGGCTGACTACGTGTTCTTGCCAATGACAAAGTGCTACAAAATGTACTCAGATTTACCACGGAATAGTTTAACATGCTCTTGCCACAAACAGTTGGTGCGGAGTGCTATACAAAAGTAGCAATATTCCATCTGACTTGGCAGGCTTATGCTAACAGTCTCATCATGTCATATAAATGATTTCTAAGTAGAGCATGTGTTACTCCATCCCTATGCTCCCATGTTCAACATATTGTAAATTGTTTTTCATTCAGATGATCAGAAACGGGTTTTATTCGTTTCTTTGGTTGTAAAGGCTTCCCAAATCAAGTAGGGATACTGTTACTCTAACTATAGTATACCACTAAGGTTTGGATGCTTATCTGAATTGTATCCACATCAGGCAATATTTTGGGAAGGCCTTTCCTTCCCCAGCACACAACTCTCCTACAAAAATGGCCATGACTCATTTTTTCCTTGTAAGAGGTATAACAGGAAGGTTAGGGGGCCTAGCCTTCAATTAGTCCCTCCCATAAAGTGATAACAAAGCAGAAAATGTGGAAGGAGATGGATCTGTGCTACACAACAGGAGTCCTCCAACTTCTGCCACCAGCTTTTCACCACTCTGAGTCCTGCTTGCCCAGTTCCTAAAGAGTTTGTGAAGGAACCTGGGCTAATCACATTCTTTCTTACACAACACAAGAAAAATCTGTTGCTTGTTCAAACCAACCAGAGATCCTACATTTCTTTCAGTGAAGTGCATGGGCATGATACAACATTAGACAAACAGATAGGACAGGCAGACAAGAACGAAATGAAAGACACTTTTAAAATGTACATACTCACAACATAAAATAAAAAGCTTAGCTTCAGTAAGGACAAAAGTCTTGTCATCCATCTTTTCCTGATTATGTAGATATTATTGTATTAGCTGCTGCCATTATTATTAAAACATCACAATCAAGAACAGTTAATGGGTTATACAAAAAACAGAATAAAACTTGGAAAGCAACTGAAAAAGGTCAAGAGGGACCCTAAGGGCAGGGAATGAGAATCCAATGTCATGGTATGAGAGCACGGGAAATGAAGGAGAGAGAGAGGACAAAATAGCAGGGGAGATTTAGAAAACAGAAGTAAATTTCTGCAGAAAGAGGAAAGATCATGCAGCAAGGAAGAAAAGCAAAAATAGAGGATGAAAAATTAAGGAAAAAAAATCTAAGTCAGCTGATTCAATGTTTTGAATCCAAGACGGTTTAGGATTTAGACATGCAGGTTAGAAAAAAATGTAACACACTTCCAAATATCTTCCTAGACCTGACCCCTAACTTCCTGCTTTATATTTGGGAACCCTGGTTTTTGCCCTCATAACTGATAGGTAAGAAATATAAATAAAAAGTAAGGTGTCACAGCAACAGCATACTTTAAGTCCTGAAGTGATGTTCTCCAGCATGAATACTGCACACTATAGGAAGTTTATATAGAATATATAAGAATTGCTTCAAAGCCTTAAGTGGGTCCAAAACAAAGGATGCACTGGGAGAACAGGGTTCAAATCTGTACTGGGTTTGTCTACATGACACGCTTACTGCGGAGCTGCCTAATTAGCAGAGATTCTGGTTTTCTCTGATAAAAAAAATCCCCAATTTTCGGTTTTAAAAAGTAACCCAAAACCTACATTTTTCCATGATTAAAATGAAACACCACTTGTGTGTGTGTGTGTGTGTGTGTGTGTGTGTGTGTATTAGTGGTGTTTCATTTTAATCATGGAAAAGTTTAATTTCACAGTCAGGGCGGCTAGGATCTGGAACCAACTTCCAAGCGACGTGGTGCTGGCTCCTACCTGGGGG